GAGTCGCCCGGCCAACCAAGCCTTCCATCCCTCCGGGGTCGGTTAATTGGTACCAGACTTGTCTGGGAGGATAAAAACACTGACTTGTACATCGGCTGGCCCCCGCAAGTCATTGTATAGGCCACATCGCATTCAAACGCCACTGCGAATGCGATGCGTACCGAAAAGGAATTAATCAGCGCTCAATCCTTTTATTTGAACCTTTCTCCTTCACCTGGGGAGATCTGAGCCCTGAGTGCGATAGCGGCGCGAATTGTCGCCCTCTTTTTCATCAAGTGCTACCTACAAATCTGTTAATTTCTGTCAGGTAAGATTGGCCACTCAACTTTAAACAGTCAATTATGAACGAATTTTCGAATTCAGGTGATTTGAAATATTTCCTGGAAATAGTTCGATTAAAGCAGAATGCTTTATTCTATCTGAGCAGTTCAACGAATATCGAGCGGTGCCACACCGAAATGCAATCAGTGACGTGCGCGAAGGCGAGCTTTGTAGCCGATGTTGTTTCCGCCCTAAATGATTTTATTGCACTAACAAGTAAATTCTCCACACCGATAAGTACCATAAAGAATTGATAACTTACCATTGGAAATTCATTGGTAGGTTGAGCCGATCCTGGGTAAGCTGGTTGAGATGGGGCAGGGTAGGATGGTTTACTTTGTCCTGTGTAAGTGGATGGAACAGTTGGGTTTGGCTGAGGACTTTTAGGATAGCTGGGTGAAGGTGGAGATGGGTAAGAAGGTTGAGATGGTGCAGGGTAAGCAGGTTGAGATGGTGCAGGGTAAGCAGGTTGAGATGGTGCAGGGTAGGCAGGTGAGATGGTGCAGGGTAAGCAGGCTGAGATGGTGCTGGGTAAGCAGGCTGCGATGGGGCTGGGTAAGCAGGCTGACTGGGGTAGGTAGTTTGGGGCTGTGATGTGTAAGAAGGTTTTGGGTAGGAAGTCTGCGGAGTTTTAGGGTAGCTAGGTGGAGATGGAGCTGGGTAGGATGGTTGCGAGGGGTGGGGTAATTTGTTGGAGGAGCGGGAGGACACATTTGCGATGGAGGTGGAGGCCTTACGGAAGGAAATTGCTTGCCGTCAGTATTGTATGCCTGTTGATCGCCTCCATCAGCAGATACTGGAGAAGGTGGTGCAGGCTGCATGACTTCAGCAGTTTCGTAGCCCGAGTTCTGAGACCGGTAATCAGCAAGTGCCATGCCAGCTGTTGCAAGAAGCAGATAGCAACGCATCTGCAAAGAGAAAGTCGAGTGATCAAGCTTACC